AGCCACATGTGACTGCAGGAGGGACAGCTACAGGCTCAGCTGGGTATGATTAATTAGTGGGCCCCCGCCTGCAGACTGGATGAAATTGCCTGGCGGGTTGGATCTGGCCTGCAGGCCATATTTTTCCCACCCCGTCTTAGCCTACAGCTCCTGTAGGGAAGGTAACATCTTAAAATAGACTCACCTACTCCATCCTCTTCAGATGTTCCAAAGGCATAAACCCTTGCTTCCCAGGTATCTGAAACACAAAAGATTGGGCATGTCACAATATGTAGAACAATGTACTGTATTTAGCTAGTGGCCATATGTACCTGGTAATATCATGCTTGCTTGAAAATCCTAACAGGATCATGCCAGGATATTACTAGTGATTAACTGATGTCAGATGATAAAATTTAAGAAACGTATCTAAGCCTTTGTAGAACAGATGTGTTATTGGAAGGCTATTTAATGGGAGAATTCTGAAGAATCTAGAATGAAACAACATTTTTTTTCAATTTGTTTTATCATTGAAAATGTAAGCTGGAATAAGCAAATCGAGAATATTTTTTTAAGTAGTTCCACTCAGAATCATAGCAGTAGCACCTGAATGAATGAGACAAACAGGGACTGAGGTGGCTTTTAATACAAAAGTGAGGACTGGTTTTAAATGCTTCCCAAAAAGAATCACTTTCTCCTATGCACATGTTATTCAGCATCTAAACTTATTTTTCTGTGTTTTCAGCCTGTTAATTAAGGTGCAAATGGCTTAGAACTACAGACACTGAGGTCTGGGCTAATTTCAGATGTAAAAGTATCATATGGTTAACAACAGATTTACACCAGCGTGAAACAGACCACATGTCCTGTCCCTGCAAAAAATGTGTGCGTGTGTTATACAGGTTTCCCTCAATCGATGCAGGTTGTTTATATGCAAATTCACTCTTATAAGATCTGCATAAATGGCCCCCCCGCCCCATCCAAGCAGGTAAGTCTGTGGGGAGAGGGGAAAGGGCTGTGGCCCACTCACCCCAGCCCTGGCTGCAGCGGCCCCCGGAGCAGGCGGTGCCAGCGGGCTCTGGGCTGCACTGTGCTCTGCTTGTCCCCCCGCATCCGGGCTTACTCCAGCTCCTGGATTGCACTGTGCTCTGCCTGTCCCCCCACACCTGGGCTTACCCCAGCTCCTGGGCTACACTGTGCCACATGCAGGCAGCTGCTGTCAGCTGCTCCCGGGGCCATTCCAGCACAGGCTGGGGTGAGTGTGAACAAGCAGAGCCCCGTGTAGCACAGGGCACAGCACTCACCCCAGCCCCAGCTGCAGTGGCCCTGGGAGCAGCCGACACCAGCTGCCTGTACCAGGGCACGGTGCAGCCCAGGAGCACAGGTGAGCCGGGACAGGCAGAGCACAACGCAGCCCAGCAGCTGCAGGCAGCTGGTCCCACCCACTCCAGGGGCCACTGCAACTGGGGCTGGAGAGAATGCCACTCTGTTCCCTCTGCTTTTCTGCCTTGTGCAGCCCGAGGAGTGGCACCCCTCTCCCTGCCCCTTCCCTAGTCCCAGCCTCACTCCCTTTCTCCTTCCTTCCCTCACTGTCATGGGAACTTATCCCAATTTGTTACATTGTAAAGTGGGTTCGCTTTATGTGAATTTGATTTATGCACCATTCTCTGGAAACGCATGTACAGTATAAATCAAGGGAAACCTGTATGTTGATAAGCATCTAAGCCAGGAGCATGCAGTTATTTTGGGTGGAGGTCCTCTTAACAAGTTTTGGCAAGCTGTCGGGGGCTGCATAGGTAGACAGTTGCTCCGTGCCCTAGTCACCACATTGAGACTGTAAGTCCTGCCCCCTAATCCCTGACTTTTGCCACTGGAAGTCTCTCCCCTTGTTGCCCCTCCCCCCCTCCAAATAATCCTTTTGGGGGGGGGGGGAGCTGCCATCTTAGAACCAGAAAAAACCCAAATTATACACTAGAAGTCAAACACCTATTATAATATACTTTATTACAAAAGATATTTGTCATGACTTGTGATTGTGTACTGTATATAGAAGGGATTGCATAATAACCCAAAAATAAAGTGTCAGTCTTTTATACTGTGTGTGTATGGTGCTGTGTGTGTGTGGTGGGGTGTGTGTGTGTGTGGAGGCAGATTTGTGGGGGGGCTTGTGAAAGGGTGTGGCTGCATAGGGGGCATAGGGTATATTGGGGTGTATATATATCTCAGTGGGGGTTGTGTGGGCAGGGTGTGGGTGTGTGAGGTGTGAGAGAGAGTGCAGGTGTGTAGGGACCCACCACACACTCCCCCCACCATGGTGTGCAGGCCTCGCTGCCTGGCAGCAGCAGCATGTGGGGTGGTCAGGGTGCTCATGCCTGGCGCAGGCACCTGGAGGGTTGTGGCTCAGGCATGTGCTGCACACGAGGTGGGGGAGGGGTGAGAGGGGGAAGGAGCACAGCCTGCCTGGCTGCTTCTATCATCAGGGCTCCATGCTGTGCACATGTAGCTCCCACACTCGCAGCAGGGGAAGCTCCTTGCTGGAGCCTGCTGCCTCTCATCCCCTGCTGCGCAGGTCCACACACTCAGCCCATGAGTGGAGGGAGCCCTGCCCCCTGCTTCCCTGAGTCCAGTGTGGGGCTTTCCTGCTGCGAGTACAGGAACGTAGTGCTGGCTGGAGCCATGCCCTACCAGGCATCTGCACTGGGCACAAGTGCCCTGATCTCCCTGCCTGCTACTGCTGCCAGGGGGTTGCATGCCAAGGGGTGAGTGTGGGGTGGTTTCTACACCTCCCACCCTCACACCCACACCCTGCCCAGCTGAGGTCTGTGCTCTTGCTGCTCCTCTGGGCACAGGCTCAATGCTGCACTCCACGCTTCTGCCCAGGTGCAGTTCCACCCCCAAACCAGCCTCACTGCTTCCCTACCTGCTGCCCCAAATGTGTTGGACTTCCAGGAAGCCAAGCAAGTTCCCATGGGGTGGCTGCAGCAGAAGCCCCACCCAGAAGGTGCTGCTGGCTGGGCAGAGCCCTTCTGTTCAAAGGGTGGGAGAGAGGTGCAATGGGGTATGTTGTAGGGGTGTACACATGAGAGCCTCACTCCCAACCCCGTGGAGGGAAAGGGTTGAATGGGGCATAATTCACTGAGGGGAGCTGTGGGCCAAATGAAAGTTCCTGGTGGGCCGGATCCAGCTCATGGGCCATATTTTGCCTACCCCTGATCTAAGCCTAAGGTATCTATTGTAAATAGTGCCAAAAGAATGTTACTTCTAGTCACACTGTCAAGCCTGTATGTTGCTGTAGTGTGCTCCTCCTATGAGTACTGATCTGCTTGCAGTCTGTGTTATTCCTATATCAGCACCCTCCAGTAGCCACCTACTAACTGAAAGGAAGCTGGTTGCCGGTTAAAAGAATACTTTATAGTTAGGGACCTACTCAAATCACAATTGTGTGGATTTTGAGGAAATCAGAAGTTGTGAGGAGTGTCAGTGTCATGGAGCACCATCTCCATGAAATGTGCAGGAAAAAATTAACTCCCCCCACCCTCCAAAATAAACCTGGCAGGGTTCCAGAGCCTGGTGCAGCTTTTTGTAGCCAGTCCGGGCTCTGGGAAGTGGCAGCAAGCAGTGGGCAGGCTGCAAACAGCTGTGCCAGGCTCCACAGCTCCAGGGCGCTCTGGTGAACAAACGTTCCCCCAGATACTGATGGTCAGCCCTGAAAAAATTTATAGGTGGCCATCAGATCACCCTGGAGCCTGCGCTTTTCCAGGCTAAAGAGCCTCATAGATCTCAGCCTGTCATTGTAAGGTCTGTTTTCCTGACCTCTGATCATGCACGTGGCTCTTCTCTGGACTCTCTCAAGCTTCTCCACATCCTTTTTGAATTGTGGGGCCCAAAACTGGATGCAGTACTCCAGCTGCGGCCTCACCAAGGCCGAGTACAAGGGGAGAATGA